GGAGTAGAACAGTGGTGCTCGTGTTTTGAACTCGTCATTTACTTTGGACAAAGTAAAGTTCTTCATTTCATCTGGCTTTTTAGACCTCAATATAGATGGTTCCTTTAATGAGCACAGCCCAATGCACTCCTGTTACATTAGTGAGGATTTTCTTGATGACCCAGTATTTCAACTTTTGTGACCTGAAAATGGCTGTTGCAATCTCATCATAATAAACTTTTCTTGCAAGTGCTTTCCAAAGAGGCTCAAGGTCTTCTTTCAATATATTGTTGTAGTTTTTATCACACCCAGGATAGTTGAGACGTACATTCATGTTGAAAGAATGCTAACTGTTAATTTTTAAAGACTATCATGTTATGCTTATAAGAGGTCAACAATAATAAGGTCATAAAAATATAATTAATTTTATTGGAGTATTTACACTTCCAATCGTCTCTTATTAAACGTTAAGTCAAAAACGAATCAAGTAGAAATACGAACTTACCTCGACAGACGGTTCCTGATCCTGATTATTTGCAGTTTCTTTACTTTTACGGGAAGCAGTTGCAGTATTATCTTGAGTTGGCGGGCTTATAACAGCATGGTGACGTGGATCGTGTGGGATCGGGGCGGCGATCGAAGTCTCAGAACTCAACGCTACAGTGGGCAGTTGAGACGATAAAGGAGGCAACAGTGGAGTTGAAATCGGGGTTACAAGAAGCACAGTGGTACCTTCAACAGTTTGACTTGGAAATAAAGACTTTTTCGCCGCTTTTGATTGTCTTTGCGCGGCCGACTGTTCCTTTGTAGTTGTTATGGGCTGGATTGGCGAGATAGGMGGATTCAGTCGCTTGATACGGACGGAGTTACACGCTAAAATTTCTTGCTTTAACTCGTGGCTTAGCTGGGTTAAGTCTGATGATAATTTTAGATACTTCTTGACTCTCGATAGGCACTTTTTCGTACAAATATAATGCTCTTGGTCGGCAGTGATTTGCAAATCTCCTTCCAAAAGTTGTGATATCGCACCTTTTAAATCTAACTTTGAACGTCCAAATAATGACAATCGATCTTTAGTTGAGACTTCGACGCAGCAAATAACACAATGGAATTGACGTATTTCTTCAGACGGTAAAATAACAGCTTTCTTAGGAGTGGAATTGAGCATGACGACCCATGATAAAAGAAGACAAATTCCCGCGAAAATCTGATACGTGACTAATTTATTCATGCTCGCTGAAATTCTAACAAGTATTTTTATTGGCTGTTGAATAAACAAAAGATAGTGACGTCAAGAACACGGTTGGTTTCGAAGTCCATCAGACGGTTGTTTGGGGGCGGAGAGAAGCGTAGGACCCAGGCCCCGTCTGAAAATCAGGCTAGACGGACATTGTTTTGATCAAAAAATAAATCGAATTCAATATCAACAATATCGAGTGGAGACTTTGACAATATTTGCTGCCTATAAAAAGCTACATGATTACGAGCTGAATTTATTATATAATATCTCATGTAGGGGATTTGTTTCTTGACCATATATACGACGCGCCTGATATATGTTTTTTTGCAAGTGTGGTGAATGTTTACCAGTGAGATAATTACCTGGAAAAAAGACGCAGTTTATTACTGTCCACGCGAAAAACACGTGTGAAAGGTGTAAAGCGTGTCAATCGATACTTTCTTAACTTCGATAACAGAAATTGAAATTATATATTGCCAAATTGATCAAAAAGCCGCTAAATCGGAAAACTCTAATCTCGCTATATTTTTTGGCAAAAATTGAGAAAGTTTTAAAATCGATTAAATTTCATTTTTCCTAATTAATATGCGTGATGGAAGGCAAACTTCAATCGGCTATAAATTCAACAATTTTACTCGGCATAAATCCATACTTACAACATTAATAAACAAACACTAGGTCTATAAAATCCTGAAAGAATTTTTGAAATAAATAATTTTAAACGTCAAATATTCGGCAATTAGTCAACGTTCTTTTAATGTGTAAAATAACATGCAAATTTTAGGTAAAGTTTAGCCTGCGATATCACTGCTGGTACCTAAGCAAATGTAAAACAATTTCATGTAAGCAAAGGCCAAACATTCAAGAATATTTGTGCAAAGTTTGAGCTCTGACTATTCAAACGTCTACGAGTTAGCGAATTTTAAAGATAGCGTCAAAACACGCAAAAAGCCGAACATAGTTCCGTTGAAATCTACAACACTGAAATAAATAACTATTCGAAGCTATTTAAATATTTGGGATTCTTTGTTTTCAGTGTGCTTGACGCGTTGTAGGCAACATTCGAAGGGTAAAAAGATTATTGTCAAGTGTTATTAGCGTGGTGACGGCTTAATTTTGCCAGGAAGCGATACAAACTTAAGTCACGCAATCTATTGTTGGATGTCTGGGCCGCGTAACAAGTCAGAACATAATTGATATAGAATAGCTTGAGTTTTTGTAGATGAAAGCAGAAATACTTCAAATGCTGAATTAAAAATCAGGCGATTTTTGTTTCCAATCTTGAAACACTATTAATTCAGTTGATTTAGAATATAATTTTCTATCATTCGAGCTAGTATTTGACTGTATCCATCTTAAAACTTGTATGAAAAATTATCAAGATCAATGGTGCTAATATTTATATATTCAAATCAAAAGGGTTAAAATAGCACCGTATAATGCTATTAGTTATTTGACATGTTCAAATGCGTCTTTGAGAAGCTTCGCATAAGGTGTTGCGATGGATTGAAGGGTTTTGAAGGGTCAGGGACTTGAAGACCAAAGGCTTGGCATATGTGCTGCATCATTGGAATTTCCAGGGTCTTGACTAAGTATCTTCATTCATGGCGCAAATATTGTATTGATCAAAGAGGATAGGGTGTCCAAGATGAATAGCATCAATGACATTCTTGGTAGAAGCTGTGAAATTTTGCTCCTCTTGGACCGCTTTAACCTGAGTATCAGGCCTTCGAGGGGGCCCTGGGGAGGAGAGGAGGGGAAAAATTTTTCCTTCTCCTTCTGTTCCACCCACCCACCACCCACCCCCCTGAGAGCATGATACTCAGGTTAGGACCGCTTGGACATCAGACTCAGATAAGACCTGTTTTCTCATCTTTGCAGCAAGTCGGGAGAAATATGATGTGATTTGCTGAGTACTCAAGAACTCCTTTAGGGGAAGTAAAATATATAAAAAAATAAAAAATTTGAATTGAAATCAATTTGTATTGAGGTAATCAGTTCAGTGCGGTTGAAAAATCCAACACAAAATTTAATTAGAGTGATTAGAGTGATTTTCACTGGATTGTGAAATAGCTACTTAAAATTATAAAGGTAATAGACACTTGTAGACCTTACAATGTTTTTTGGTGGGGGCGGGGGCGCTGAGGATATGATTATTAGACACTATGAAACACTGGCTATCAATTGACTCACAGTTTGATGAAAATCACTAAAAACATTTAAGAATTCATGTTTCTCTTGAATATGACTAAAAAACATATGAAACATAATTAATTTTTTAGTAGTACTAATAGTAGCTCTGATCAAATCATCATGCAGCAGTCCAGTAATCATTTAAGATTGACTTCAGTGAATTCAGTACTATTGTACAAATTATGCCATGAGCTTTGAAACATAAATCAGTTAGTTATGATTGATACAGTACTAACAATTGATATGATTATTACCACCACATCACATGCAAGTACTAAAATGCCTAAATGTAAATTATATTCAAGGTTACCCGTTGTTTGGTAGAAAGGACCTTTGGAGTTTTAAAAAGAAGGTTTCATGTCTTACACTCTGAAATAAGAATGACCCCTGACAGAGTGTGCACAATAATCGTTGCATGCACAGTGCTGCGCAACATTGCCATCATATTGAAAGAGCCAGATCCTCCAGAAGAGTTTAACATTAACAGACCTGTCAGAGAATATGACATGCAGCAAAGATACACTGGAGAAGAGAATGGAAAATCTGTAAGGGAACATATTACAGATACATTTTTTGAAGTAAATAATATGTCAAAAATTGCATTATTCATTGTAAAGTTAAGCCTGGTTCACACGGCATCATAATCATAGTCATAATCATAAGCACATCATAAGAAATAAAAGCGTTTAAATCATTTTCTTATGACTATAACTATGATTATGAAGCTGTTTAAACAAGGCTTTATGTTTCATTGTCAATATTAATAATACATACAAACTCAATCCAAACAGGGCTTTATGTTTCATTGTCAATATTAATAATACATACAAACTCAATCCAAACAGCAACTACAAACTAACAACATAGCACTGTATGAAGTTTAATAAATATTTCAATCAGTACACAAATAAAGGTCCAAGTTACTTTTGTACATTATATGACAATAAAATATTTATGAAATCTATGAAATATCTATGACATGTTTGGTACATGTAAGAGCAGAGTCACATGAACCATGAAATAAAAACTTAAAACAGAATCCTCTTTTATGAAACTTTAATAGACGAATCATACATTTGATATTTTTTAGACCTCAAGGTATTAAAATTCTTTTTTTTTTGCCCTCAAGAAGTAGCTGATTTCATGGGTTGTCCATGGATTTTTGTACTCCATATCAGCCTGCAGTGCTATTTCAAAATGTATCAAAGTCCAATGATGAAGACTATCAGTGCCTGTAGCTCCAACACCATTATCACTTATCATTTGTTGTCTTTAGACATTTAATTGTTTACAAATCGTTCGTGCGTAATCTATTGTTTTTGTAATACTATGGGCTCCCTGTGTACATGATTAAGCATGCGCATTAAAGTAGGCTTAGAGCACATGGCCGACTAACTAAGTTGTACGAGTCATTCCTCTTCAATATCACGTCTGTTTACGACTTCTTCTCAAGTAACTAGTTCTTTTACATGGTGTCAGAAGTGGGATAAACAGTCTCCTGATTTTGGACGTGATTCTAGTCRGCCTCCACCTGAATTTTGCAAGACAATCGARGTGAAACAAACACACGACATCGACAGTCGTCAAAATGGCGGGCAGTACAGGCTTGCTAAAAGGTCCAACGATGGACTGGTCTTCWAACGAAGGGCTTTACAGCCGATATAAACTATGGAAACAGCAGTGTGAACTACTTTTCACCGGTCCCTTGGTCAAAGTTGAAGAAAAAATACAATGTAAATACCTCATGTACTGGGCTGGTGAGCGTGGACTCGAGCTCTTCAACAGTTGGGGTCTATCGGCGGACGCTGAAAAATCTCTTAAATCGTACTGGACCAACTTCGAAAACGCTCTTAAACCACAGTCAAACGAGCTTATGTCGGCGTGGGAGTTGCACGAACTTAAACAAGGAACTATGTCAATAGAGGAATTCATAACCAAAATAAGGAACCACATCAAGGAAGCAAACTACCCAGCAGACCTACACGAGAGGTTTCTACGTGATCACTTCGTCTTTGGAATAAACTCAAGTCGTGTCAGGAAAGAATGCCTGAAAGAGGGGAACAGCCTCACGTTTAACCGTGCGAAGGACTTAGCAAAATCGGAAGAGTCTGCCGAGAGACAACTGAAGATTATGGGTCAAGGTGAGGTACACACAATACGCAAACACGGAAAGCAAGGTAAGCCCGTTGTATCTCAATATAAAGCAGAAAAGTCTACTCAGCCAACATTTCATAGACAATCTTCTGACAAAGAAACTGTGCACAGTACATGTCTGGGTTGTGGCAAAAATACACACCCACGTAGTAAATGTCCTGCAAAGGATGTTACTTGCCATTATTGCCATAGAAAAGGCCACTATGCCAAGGTGTGCATGAAGAAAAACAAGAAAGTCAATGAATTAGCAGCTGAGTTACCTGATAATATTGATGATGTTTTGTTCTTGGGTCCTGTAACAACCACACCCACCAACTATGATAACATTAACATGATAGCCTCTAAAGAGAAAGCACTACTCGAAGTGAAAATTTCAGCCAGTGAGAAGGGGGTACAAAACCAAGTTGTATGCAAAATAGACTCTGGGGCGGAAACTAATATTCTTCCCAGGTCCCTATACGACAAACTACAACCACATCCTAGCCTTAGGAAGTCCACAGTGAAACTATCTGCATATGGGGGGACCAATATCCCTACAGTGGGTTCATGTGACGTCTATGTACAAGCCCCTGCTAGCCCAAAACCCCATCGGATCAAAGTACAAGTAACTGATGCAGATGGACCCGCAATCATAGGAAACATAACAGCTCAAAAGCTAGGCCTGTTAAAATTGAACTGGTCAGTGAAATCTGACTCAAGCGAGTGTACACCAAACACACAGAGAAAACAACACCCATACCCCATTACTAAAGAATATCTACTAAAGGAATATACAGATGTTTTCACAGGTATTGGATGCTTTCCTGGTCCAGAGTATCACATTGAACTCGACCCTGATGTAAC